CACAGCTACGAACGCCTGATGTGCGATGTTGACGACGAGGGCACGGAACAACAAATTTGGCATCGGCCACCGCAACAAGAAAGTAACCAAGAAAACACTTGTTTACATTCACTGGACCATGGAATGGCTGTGTACCGACTGTTGGCAGTGGAGCAAAATCAGCCAAAGATCAACACTAACAATTGGCCCAACAAGAGCAATGATGCATTTAGAAATAACGATGACGACGACGATGACAATAATGCGGACCAACGAAATGACGATTGTAATGACTATGGAGACGTCATAGAGTCTGTTGTAGATGATGACAGCTATACAATTGCAATTGTTGGGTCTAGAAGCTCTTGCCCCAGCAATTCGACTGCAAATAAATATTTCGCCACAATGAGTATCATCGGCAACAACAATGGCGGCGACAACAACAATAATAACATTACCAACCTTGCCAATAATAACCACCAAAGAACTAACAACAATAATAATTGCGATGATGTACCACAAAACTTGACTGAACTACTCCTCTATCATCATGGCACACAACAGGACGAAACAGCAGGACAACCTGATACTTCTGTGACAAATGAAAACCGTCATCGACAGCAGATGCAGCAGCAGCACCAGCAGGAGGAGGATGATAGTCCTGTAAGATGGATAAACATTTCTAAGATGAAATTGAAGAAATCAAAAGGACACAATTACATCGAGGACGCTGAAAATTCCACGGAACAAACTATGAAAGTAAGTGCACATTTATTCAAATATATAGACTACAAAGAATGAATGAATTCAATTCAACCCCTCCACTACGAAACTGAGGTATATAATTGGTTGGCCGATGTTAATAAGGTTTCACTGAAGCAACCGCAAAATGCAATTCCTTAGAAAATAATTCGTTAATTAATGAATTCGCTGTAAGTAATTGTGGACTTAGAAAAGAATTGTTAACCATAGATTATATAATTTGGATTTAGAGCTTCAGTGAGTGGAAGAAAACTATAATCAATATTTGATTAATTAGTGAATAATGAATAATTCAAATCTTAAATTAGTATAAATTCTATTATAAGAGAAAATTGATATCAAATCATTGAATGCTTACAAGAGATGGTCCAAGAATCTTATTGTTATATTAACATATCTTTATATGAACCGATCATTCATTCTACAATACGTCTATCTTTGGCGCTTAAATGCCAAAGATGGACAAAATGATTTATAGAAGTTATATCTAAATCTGATGCACCATTTCCATTAACTCGTTGAAAATTATATAGGGGTTTTATTCTCAGTTTCATTTTTATGCCCTCCAATATAGTATGGAGAGTATATTAATTTTTTTTCCATTTGTAACTCCGCGAAATAACCATTTCCGATCCTATAAAGGATCAGCGTAAAATTCTATGACGATGTCCGTCTTTCTGTCTGCTGTAATCACTCTAGCCTCTAAACGAATTAAGATAGAAAGCCAAAATTTAGCATAGAGTCTGCAGGTAGGTCAAGTTAGAAGATGGGCTATATTGGTCCAAGTTTTGGCATAGCTCCTATTTACAGATACCCCCCAATTTTCGTTATTTTAGAGGTTTTAAGCGCGTTTTTCAACGTTGGGTCCTTATTGCGTACATTGGGTTCTTATTGTCCCATAAGTTTCTTCCGCGCCACGCTTACATAAATATGCAGGCTTATCTCTTAGCCGTTTATGGCATCGGTTTCAGTCGTCCCATAGCTCTTTCAAAGTACGTTTCGTTGGTGACAAAGCCTTATTTAAATTTTTTTCCGCCCCGTTCAGTGGATGAAGCTAGCATTCCCTAGACAACGGTACAAAGGCATTTGAACAAGATGGGAGATGCAAATCATTATGAAAAGAGAAGAAAATTATCTGGCCACCTAATATAAATATTGGTCCACTTTTTCTGGTATCCCCCACATAGCTGTCCCCCAATTTTCTGTATTTTGGGGATATTGAGCGTATTTTTCCGACTGTGTTGGCTATAATTTTGTACATTGACTTTTTATTGGGTAGCGAATCTCTCCACAAAAAATATTAATAAATGTACTATTATTTGGGTAGCTCCCATATAATGGTACCATTCTATTTTTGAGGTTCTTGAGCGCGTTTTTTAACCAAATTCGCTGTAATTTGGTATTTTCGAGCCCTTTGTAGTATATTCATTTTGTCATTCCGTTTGTAACTCATCGAAATATTCATTTCCGACCTTATAAAGTATATATATTCTTGATCAGGGTAAAATTATAAGACGTCCGTCCGTCTGTTGTAATCACTTCTGAAGGAATTGAGATAGATCGCCAACATTTTGCGTAGAGTCTTTTGTGTCCAGGCAGGTCAAGTTCAAAGATGGGCTATTTCGGTCCTCATTTAGGCATAGCTCCCATATAAGGGTACCCCCCAATTGCGGATTTTGGACTCGTTTTCCAACCGAGTTGGCTGTAATTTGACATTTGTTTGGCAATTTGGCACTTGTCGGTACCAAAATTATTAATATTAACCCAAGTTTCAGGGTAGCGCCCATAAAACGGTACTCCCCAGAATTCGTTAGGCTATTCTCGACACGTATTTCAACAGAATTGACTATAATTTGGGTTCTTATTGTACAGCACATATCCATGCTAAACATTATTAATATTGACTCAAGTCTCAGCCCCCATATAACGGCACCCCCAATATTCGATGTTTTGCAGATGTGGGAGACGCCTTCCGATTTGGATGAAATTTGGCACAGGTCACTGAATTGGCCCAAGGACGAAACCTATTGAAATTGGAGAAAATCGGTCCACGTTTAGGCATAGCTCCCATATAAGGGTACCCCCAATTTTGCGGTGTTTTAAGTGTATTGATCGCATTTTTCGACCGAATTCGCTGAAATTTGGTACTTTGAGTTCTTATTATTGGGTAACAAATCTCCCTACTAAAAATTATAAATATCGGTCCATTTTTTTGGATAGCCCCCATATAAGGGTACCCCCAGGTTTCGGTATTTTGGGGTTCTTGGGCTTGTTTTATAACTGAATTCTCTGAAATTTTGTATTTTGGGTTCTTATTGTGTACCAAATTACTCCACTAAAAATTATAAATACAGGTCCAGTTTTTCTGGTAGTTCCCATATAACGGTACCCCCAAATTCTGATCGTATTTTTCGACCGAATTGACCGTCGAGTTCTTATTAGGTAAAAAAATCTCTCCACTATAAATTATAAATATAGGTCCATTTTTTCGGGTAGCCCCCATATAAGGGTACCCCAAATTTTCCGTATTTTGAGGTTCTTGGACGCGCTTTTCAACCAAATTCTTTGTAATTTGTTTTTTTTTTTTGTAGTCTTATATGGTAACAAACCTTTCTCCCAAAAAATATTAATATTCGCCCACTTTTATTGGTAGTCCCCATATAACCCCCTTTTTATACCCTTCACCACACTGTAGTACAGAGTATTGTGTCTTTCTGCATATGTTTGTAATAGGCAAAAATAATCGAGATATACCCATGGTTCCTTTTGATAATATGCATAGAATCACTTTCTGAGTCGATTTTTGCATGTCCGTCTGTCCGTCCGTCCATGTATTATTGTTAACAACGTACAGGTCGCATTTATGATCCGATTTGGATGAAATTTGGCACAGGTCACTTAATTGACCCAGGAACAAACCCTATTGAAATTGAAGAAAATCGGTTCAGATTTAGATATAGCTCCCATATATATTTTCGTCCGTTTTTAACTTATTCATACATCAAACTCAAAACACAAAATTTTGCACAGAGTATTGAATTAGGTCTAGATAGTTATATGCCAAGGTTTATGGAAATCGGTTCAGATTTAGATATAACTCCGATGTATAGTTTCGTCCGATTTAAAGTAAATTATGCATCAAACTCCCAATTTTGGTCCGATTGCACAGAGTACTGAATTAGGTCCCGACTGATGTATGTGAAATTTCTATATCTACAGGATATTGTAGATATTAACATGTCTTGCATGTACCCATAGTGGTGAAGGGTATCATATAGTCGGCCCGTCCGACTTTTGAACTTTCCTTACCGGTTTTGTGATTTCTTTCGTGAATTTAACACTTCACACTCCCCCTTATTGTGGAGGGTATAAATTGAAAAAAAAATAGAAAAAATATACCAAAATTATTCATACATGAAGTAGAATTACACCATTCGATAGCTATTCTTATCAAAATAATGGATAAACATCGACTTTTTTCTGCAAGATAGATCTGCATTTTATCCCACTGTGCCCCGGTTTGTAGTTAGTGATTTCATTAACTCAACCGTTCTGCCGCTTAGAAACGGTGTTAACTCAGTGCAGAACGCAATTATCGACAATCGCCTTATTCTCGACACAAACCATGTGAGTTTAGTGGTGTTCTACAGATGTCGCCATACTTTACTTTTTCGGTAATTACAATTATTTCGAAAAAGAAAAACAACCCCAAAATTATCTTCAAGTGGACGTTTCCATATTCCACAATTAAGTATTTGTTTTTATGGGCACTGCGCATGTACCGTGGGAAAGTCATAACATCCACACGAATTGCAATACCATGAAAAATCCCAAAAACTTTCCAGTGTCACAGACATTTTTCATTCATTCGCAATTAAAACAATCGGACTAGTTCATTGTTGAAAAAAAATAAAATAAAATACAAACAACAAGAACAACAAAATTAAAGGAATTTTGTAAAAGCGAAAACGCAGTTTCCAAATTGTTGTAATTTAATAAAGTGGATTAGTAATACGTATTGGTTGTTTGGTGTGAAAAAAGAAAACACAGTTGAAAAAACAAAAACCAAATAAGTAAAAATTTACCTTTAAAATGAAAAGTATTGTCCTTTATCCAAGGACCTTTATCACAAAGGAAAAACGAGAAAAAGAAGTGCTCAATTTATAAGCTCTAAATCAAAAGGAAGGAGTTTTTCAAGAAAAAAAAGAAAGAAATAGTAAAATATAATCAACTCTATTAAGAGAGTTTGCAAAATTTGTGTGTATTTCGTAAAACAAAACCAACAACGTTGAAAATTCAATACATCCTGGCCCACCTACTCAGGGGGCTCTACGATTAATACGCAACCTACAAGATGGATGAATGTGAAAACCTCGTCATCGATCTAGAAGTATACGAGGAGCTCGATTTAAAGCATCAACAGCAGCAAAATCAAAATTTAATCAATGATAACGACATTGAAGTTCTAGAACTAACAGCGAATTTCGATACAGAAGAAACGATGGTAATAAAAATGAGATACATAATTTTAGGCCTTAGCATTTAAGACATTATAGTCAATAGTACTTAAAAAATTGGCATAATATATTCTAAATAATATTTAATTTGTAAATCAGAATAGATTAAAGGAATACTATTTGTATATACATATATATGCATGTGTTGTACTTCAGGTGCGTGAGGGCCTTCTGGATGGGCCTTTCTTAAATGCAGTTGGGTCGTAAAATTTATATCTGTTGTGAGCTGTATGGCGTATTCCATATTTTGGTCTATTCAAATGACGCTGGTTTAAGTCGATGTGTGGAAACTTGTTTTTTTCAGAAATTCTCCGAAGGCCAAACTTAGCCAAGAATACATATCGTGAAAGGGCAATAAGTCCACTTTTTCAAGAAATTGAGATTTTTTATACAGATAAGTAACATTTGAACTTTTTACGGGTTTAACCTATCTAATGAGGATTTATTTGACATATATACAATGAAAATGATAATTTTAACCCAGTGGGTATAAATTCGAAATTCGGTACAATGTAAACATACTATAAGTAAAAATGTATCGATTTAGTTAAATGATATATTTTGTTGTTATTTTGTAGTAATGAATAAAGGCTTTAAGTCCAATTTATCACATTTCACCGGCTGTTTTTTTGTCTCTCCTGTAAAATTGTAAAAGATGGACCTTTACATATTAACTCAGCGATATGTAAACTAATCTTCGCTCAATTGGAAGAACAGATCGTGCGTGTTAAAGCATTACTCACCATAAGACAAATTTGCTGTCGATAATAATATTGATTTCCAACATAGAACTGTCATCTGTATTATCCCAAAGCTCCCAAGAGCGCAAGTTTGGCTAGAGGTATACAAATTGTGGTGTATCACGTGAGTTGACACACTTATGCCCGCCATGGGGAACAGTCGTCTCCTCATGACCATATGTATAGGGTGGAACGACACTTGGTGTTTATGCAATATCGAATGCTTACGGGTGAAAGAATTACCCAAGGATATGAGCATTACACAGTTCACACACAGCATCAATATTCTGAAGCACCATACCCGTTTTTGAACTACCTACACCATTTAACCAATTCCGTATCATGGCGTTTCGGATTTATAAAATGCCACCTGCCAGAAAATGTTCATTAAAGCGGTCCATTTATTGATATAGGTCCAATATAAAGGTTACCCAAATATCGGAATTTTTAGTTTCCCAGCCGCATATCGATTTTCCGATGAAGATTATGATCACTCACCCCATATTGATAGTCACATGTTTTGTCAAATTTTATAATGGAAGGAACTGCAATTTTAAGTCTCAAGTTCTCAGAGGATAACGTACATTATCCACCATAAGGTTGAATGTTTATTAAATTGTTTAATCCAATTTCAACATCTCGAAATATCAAATTAAAATTTTGTGTCAGTATTTTCCAACCAAAATGGCTCTAATTTGCTATTTGAGGTTTTCATTGGGTGACAAATCTAATTATTTCTTCTATAGGTCCATCTTTATGGGTTCTTGGAAAGGAAAAAACAGACATGTCCTTGTTACGGTAAAACCTGTACATACGGGGTTAGGGATACGTAGTCGAGCGCTAAGTTCGACTTTTAAATTTTTCGATTTTTGTCGCTGAACAAAAAGTCGACTTTTCGATTTTGGCCCTTGTTAAAAAGTCGACATATCGATTTTGGCCTTTAATTAAAAAGTCGACTTTTCGATATTATAATTTTGTCGAACCCATTAAAAATTGACTTTCAAATTTTACCGACTACTGCAAAATCGACTAAAAATGTGATTAAAAAATTGATTTTTGGTTAATTTCGGCTTTCTGATAATAAATGAAGTATTTAGGAAAAAAATCGAAAGTCGATCATGTGATTTCCTCAATAATCAAAACGCAATGCAAATACGTGGCTGTCCCATTTTGGATATGTTGGTGGAACAGGTGTAAAAAACACATTAGTAGAAAATTAGCTATTTTAGACATAACTGAGATACGTGAGTGGTATCGGTAACATAATATCAGTATTTCATCAGAGTGGTTACTTAAAATAAGGATTAATGACAAAGTGTAATTTATAATATATCGCGAAAACTACAATCTTATATCGAGTTTAATCGATCGCAAATACCGAGCAAGATCAAATCGATGATATCCAAATGGAAAATGTTGTAATTACATGTCGCAAATGACAAAACCACTGGGAAATTTTACTGGATGAATATTCCGAAAAGGTATCAAAATATATTGTTGGGTAAAAAGAATTTGTACTATTGAAATATCGAGATGGGTTGACAATGTTCTATATCCACACAAGAAGTTAGAGCTTTAAAGGATTGAAAATAGAATTTCTAACTCCTTAAGAAAAAAGAGGCTTTATAATCATGTTTGCAGCAGAATTACAATGTCGCGAGATACCTGCAATAATACGATTTGGTTAAATCAGTTCCAATCACATCTTCGATACAGAAATCTTCTATTGGAATATTTTAGAGCAAATCGTGGGATATACGAGGAATTTATTGTCATCAAATTTGATTGGAGAATCAATTTCCAGTTACGCGGGTCCCCATATATTATTGCTATATATTGACTTAATAATGCCCCGATTTTTAATATGACGGATCACAGAACCTTCCTATAAGTGATCTAAACAAGATCATTTGTTTTGGATGATTTGATCGGATGATCCATTCGTTTCAATGCTCTCATAATTTGAAAAGTTCGGGAACGCAAATATAGTAAATATGCCAATATTAGAAGGCAAAACTTCAAAATCAACATAACAGCCAATCACAAGTAGGCATTCCTGTTTACCATTTTTACTCGACCAAATTTCTCGAGTAAAAAGTTTACAAATAGAACGCCATTTTGTTTTATGCTCTCTTAAATTTGAGTCAATGTTTTACCTGTTTTGTGGGTGGAGGAACGGATTTCGAGTAAAATGTTGCAAAACATGTAAAATGAGTAGAATCTTTTAGGTTCTGGAACGGACCTTATATGTATTATATATATATATATATATATATTTATATATATATTTATATATATATATATATATATATTTATATATATTATATATATATATATTATATATATATTTATATATTTTTTTATATATATATATATTTTTATATATATATTTTAAAATTAATGTTTAAACGATAATAATTCTAAACCAATCTAGCAATTTTGTTTTGGCTTTCGAATGGGTTAAGTTTATTTATTTTATTTTTCTTTTTTTTTAAAGGAACATTGCAAATTTATTACCCCTTTCGTCGGCCATCGTACTATATATCTGAACCGATTTAATCATTTCCGTCTGTTTGTTAAATAAGTACAGAGTACATATAAACCCCCTATTTTCTTACTGAATTAGTTATCCAAAAATTAATTTTCAAAGTTCCTAAATCTTAAGTATTGCAATATCTGCATGTGGGTTCTCTGGCACATATATTTCTATATTTCCGAACCTGTTGACGTGTGAATTATGTCCCAAAATTCCCAAAAAAAATATTTCATATTTTGAGTTATAAATGTCTAGGAAATCTGTTTTTATTTAAATTCCAAACTTTTCGCCCAAATCCCACATATCTATACAAAATACCATTCGAACTTAGTGGCCACCTTTCCATGTGGCCTGTATCAATTCAAACTCGGTAACATCACACACATTTTCCTCACTGCGAGTGTGTGTATTTTCATGTATGTGTATATGTCTCACTATAAGTCTTATCCTGCCAAAGGTTCAACATATTCTTTTAGTATACACAAAAAGGATTGTCATCCACTTCCATGAATGTGGATTGTGTCAAGTGCATACTTTGTTGTTATTATCCCCTAAAAATGTCATACACACATATGACATATGTATGTGTGTGCGCCTTATGTCTATGACGTTGGAATTATTATTTTGTATTTGTGCTTGTTTCTTTTTATTTTGTTTTGTTCCCATTTTCCTTATTTGTGTGTCCCATTGGATTGTGAGTTGCTGTTGTTGTTTTGGTTCGGTTTGTTTATTGCCGCATTTTGCGGCTAGAATGGGTTCCACCATCTGTTCGCTGGGTAGACTTTGCGATGTTCTGCGGCTCGTTTGTATTTGGTTAGTCATCAATGTTTTGCAGCAGGGCGATTGACGTGAGTCGCCACTGTGTCGTTTAAAGTTATAGTCTACACGGGCTGGTACACATCGATGTGTACATAAAAAAGTACTTTTTTTTATTGAATAACTCACTCTATAATAGCTCCGTTAATTGTATAATATCAAAATACAACAAGAACAACAAACATAACGTAATGGTTTATACATCATCTGAGGTAAGAGTTACTTACATATATTGATTTGGTACAAATATGTTACTTCATATCCAGTTATGGGATGTCGGATATCGGGCCTATATATAAGATAAGTATGTTCACAGAACTAAAAATACCAAATAGCAAGAATTTGTGAAGATATCTGGTCGGAAACATAATATCAGTATTTCATCAGAGTGGTTAAACGAAATAAGAAATACCGACGAAGAGTCATTTATAGCTGATCGCGAAGGCCGTGATCTTATATCGATTTTTGTGGATAGCAATTACGAGCCAGATTAAATCGATGAGAATAATCCGAAAGGAAACTATCTTGGATCATATACCCATGGGAAAATCAAATTGGAAAATGTTGCAATTACTTATCGCAAAGGTCAAAATCACTTAGATACATATTTCACTTGATTCAAATTCCGAAAAATTATCAATATAATGTGGGATAAAAAGAGTCTGTGCTATTGGAATATTTATAAAGTCAGAATTGAAATGTTATGATATGACGTTAGAGTTTTCAAAAATAGCATTTCTATCTCTTTACGAAAAGAAGGTCTAAGACAGAATCAGAATGTCGCGAGATACTTGTAAAAATACGATTTGGTTAAATCAAATCCAGTCACATGCCCGACCACAGACATTTTATATTTTGATATTTTACAGCAAATTTTGGGATATTCGAAGAATTTTATGTCATCAACTTTTATTGGAGAATCGAATTCTAGTTACGTGTGTCCCCATAAATTATTGCTATATATTGGTTCAATAATGTCCATATTTTTACTATAACGAATTGCATAACCTTCCAATAAGTGACATAAACGTGACTTGTGATGTTATCTGTTAACAACAACATTAAAATGACAGAACATGCCAGCAAGGCCAGAATTCTGCTGATTTCACATCCCATATCCTCCGATGTCAAATATGAAGCTTATTTTTCCCATTTTGATGAGAAGGTCAAATAAAAAGCGATGCATTCCAAAATCATCTCAATGCTGAATGACAAGATGTCGAATCTGAATAATTAAACAATTTCGAAAAGTTTTTAACAAAATTTATATCGGTGTTTTTGGGACCGCATGTCTACAGCCAATTCGAATGTAGAACACTTCTGTCTTGTAAATAGTTTTTTGTATGCCCCTCTTCTTGCTACTTTCTACAAATTACCCCATCATTAAATTTCTATACACTAATTCCGCTATACAGCTAATTCTGCCCGTTTGTCAAGCTTAGGTCCATGTTTTGGCATAACCCCATATTAAGGGCTCGCCCGAGGTTTTTAGCAAATCCGGGAATACATATGCATCATTAACTTCGGCTGCGCCGAACTTTTTATACTTTTTATACCCTCCACAATGTGGGTACATTCAAATTTCCTTAAGTTGGCCGGGACATTTATAAGGGGACTTTATATTTAGTTTTTCATGCTCCCTAAAATAGGTTTCCAAACCACAGACACTCTAGTTGGAAAACTTAAAAGGGGCTTTTTATACCCTACAAAACTATGTTGTCAGGGTTTTACAGCTTTGTTTGTAATGCCGCGAAATATTGGTTCTAGACCCACTTTTATGTATACCGATCATCATTTCTTGACCAGCTGAGACGATCTAAACATGTGTGTCCGTCCGTCTTTCCATTATAATTTGTAAACACGATATAGACCTCAGTTATAGATTGTCCCGAAATTTTACATGTAGGATGGGTTCTGACCAATGAAGCCTTATTGTTTTTGGTAGTGATTCGTTAATATGGACCAAAAACTTTATTTGTATCTATTTTTCTGGTCGCTCTTGAGGCCACAATTTTGACTGATGTATCTACTCGGACGTGGGAGTTATACTTAAATATTTACAGATGTACACCTAAGTCTGTTTTTACACGGTAGATTGGTTCCAGAAGAAACCGTGTAAAAAAGGGTATTCCCCTAAGTAAGTGCTATTCACATTTGCTTTGACCCGTAAAAATTGTTTGTACGCGCTAAAGGGGAATTCACTCAAATCTTTAGCTAGTGTTCGCAAACTATCGATACTATCGATGGTTTCAGACTTTTTTCTTTCATAAATACTTTTTTGTGATATGAACATACTTAGCAAAAATTAAATTTGACAAAAAATTTAAGTACATAACATTTCAAATCGTGCTAAATGAAATAAAATCGTGTAAAAAATAAAAATATTCAATTTTCAAACCGTGTTATATCAAAACCGTGTACAAAAAGACCGTGTAAAAACAGACTTAGGTGTATACATAATCTGATATTAGTTAGTAAGTTAGTAGGAAGATTTTACACACCATGAAAATGATTAAAATAGACAATTTGGTTGAAAAAACATGCCCAAACCCAGCAAAATAGCGAATAATGGGGACTACCCGGAACCTTGGACCAATATTGACATTATTTTTCTCAATGAGAATCCAAAATATTAAATTGATCCTGAATTGGTAGAACCACCTGCTGAAACTCCACAAATTCACAATGGTCACTATACAAAAATCCATTTCTGCATCGGAAGTGGCCGATATAGCTTTCATATATAATTCGCCCGGTTTCTTATATTCTCTACGGATGTCTACGGTTCAAACGCGATTGGAAATTGATTTTGCTTTCGTATACAAATTATAAGTGATAAATCCCAGTATCGCCATTTGATTTTTGGTTTTGATTGGTGAACGACTTCTGTAAAAAATTGTGCTTATTAATATATGATATGTAATGACTATGACTAAGTTTTGGTTGAAAGCTAAGAAATCTAACAATTTCCACGTGGATCGGAGTAAATTATACAAAAAAGTTACAATAACCATTTACGTTAAATCGGACGAAAATATATATGGAAGCTATATTTAAATCTGATTCGATTTTTCCCAATTTCAATAGGGTTCGTCCTCGGGCCAAATAAATGAGCTGTACCAAATTCCATCCAAATCGGATCATAAATGCGACCTGTACTTTGTTCACAAAAATACATGGACGGACGTACAGACGGACATGCGTAAATCGACTCAGAATATGATTCTATGTATATTCTCAAAAGGAACCATGGGTCTATCTCGATTCCTTTTGCCTGTTACAAATATATGCACAAAGGCATAATACCCTGTACCATAGTGTGGTGAAGGGTATAAAAATAAATGTATCTACAGAATTTATCAATTTCCAGTCTTGTCGACATACCCATTCATTTCCAATATATACATTTTATATACATACATATATGTATACAAACGTACACTTGCTTCTAATTCAATTATACAAAGTATAACAATTCATTTCTTCTTCTTCGACCATTTTAGGGTCAAACCGAAAGCAAAAGGCATTCAAAGAAACACAATGCTGGTGAAATTCAAACCAAAGGTACGGCCATGTCTTTTGGATTTCGTAAAAATCTCAATACGACTCCGAAGAAATTGAAGAAACTGCTAAAAGGGGAAAATGCCAAGAAAAAACAGGATAAATGTAATAACGTGTGTACGAATGACACAGAAGCGAACGCCACAGATGAACATGGGGATTCGGGTGGTTATGATATGACAGATAATAATGACACGAAGTGCCATCTAAGCAACACCGTGAATGATATACGGAATGCAACAGCAGCAACAACAACAACATCAATGGAAAATGATGATAATGGCAATGCAGGTAAATCAACTTTGACATATTTTCTGTAAAAATTAAAATCGAATAAATTAATTAATATTTTTTAATTAGATTTCCTTAACAATGTGCACTTTGATAAAATGGGAGCAGTGGCCGCAAATAATGTTAACTCTGGTAACACAACAACAACAGCAGCATCAAACAATGCATCTGGTGGTGGCGGCTGCAATGGAAATGTTCGATTACCTGGAGCCGGCAGCCGTTTTGGTTATCGTGGTCCTGTACGACCATCATCGACAGATATAACTTCTCGTTGCAAGAATGAAGCCAACGAAAATGTCGAGAACAACAATAGTGCTACAGCGGGAAGTAACACCAAGGGACAATTAGTGAGCAACTGTAAGTATTGTCTGGCGATTTATGAGGTTTTTTTTTTATAAAACTGGGTTAGTTAAAAATAGTTTCTATATTTTATTCACAATTTTATTTGTGTGTGCGTGTCAGAGAGAGAGAGAGAGAGAGTAGAATTGAAATTATAGCGAAGAACTGTGAATTATAAGTTCAACTAGAAGTTGATGGTATATTCCAGAGGAGTGGTTGACCAATTATATTGTTGTATGTACTCGAATGTGGGAGTTATACGTAAAAGGTGGTATGTGTTGTGATATTGTTTAGTATCACTATTACCCCACTTGTGGATGGAAATGTCGCGCTGATCGCTTTGAAATTTTATATGAAGCTCCGACGCGAATACTTTTCGGTGATGTTGAGATGATATATAGGGGGTGCAATGAACCGAATACTTTTTTCTATGCACAACGCAACATATTTTACATGGTGAAGAGGGCGTGTCCAAATACTTTGAACGGCTGTTTATATGATGATCGATCAATATTCCGAGAGTAAAATCATCAAAAAATCAATTTTTTGTGGCGTAAATATTCACCTCGGGAAAACAAGACCTGGAACATATGCTAGGGTTAGAAAGTAGATCTGTTGGCATATAATTGGTCAAGAAATATTGCCCTGGCTCAAGGATCATACCTAAAGGTCAATTTTGTTAAACACATGCCACATATTTCTCCAAGGACTCTATGAAAGCTAAAGTTCATAAATAAAATTGTATGGACTCAGAAAAATGTTTGGCAAAAAAAGAGGAGTATACCGATGGGTCCAATCTTCGGTTTTGATCTGGTTTTGCTGAAAAATTTTACGATATGCATTTAACGGACCAAATCGTTTCAATGAAATTTACACGTTTTACAAATTTTGAGCCTTTTTAGAGGTGATACCAGAAGAAGTGGACAGACGGGCCCATTTTAACACCCTCCACTATAAGGTGTGGTATGTATTAAAATTGTCACTCCGTTTGCAGCACCTTGAAATATTCACCGATTTATGCGTGTCCGCCTGTTTGTCTCTACGTCTGTCTTTTGAAATCACCATAGAGATCGCAATATCTGAGGTAGAACTTTCTAACCTTGTCCAGGCATTGCTATTACTTCTAGGATGGTGGATATTGTAAATGGGTAGATCGGTCCACGTTTTGTTATAGCCCCCATATAAGGTTACCCAATATATTCGGTATTATGGCGATTTTTGTCACGTTTTTCAAACGATATACCAAATTTTCCTACAGAAATTTATCAATATTGGTCCACTTTTTTGAGGGGTAACAGTAAGAGAAGTCTTATTTGGGGTTCCAACAGAATCAGATGTAATTTGATATTGACTACCAGCTAAGGGTGAGCCCCATATAAACAATATTCGGCACTTTTGGCTGCAATTTGGTATTTTGGATTGTGGTGTGGTAGTTAATCTTTCTATTAAAAAATACCAATATTAGTCCACATTTTAGAGAAGTCCCCCTTATAACGCTACATCCCAAAGATAGGTATTTGGGGGGTTTTGGGCTCATTTTTTAAATAAATTGGTTCTAATTTAATTTTTCAGAGCCTAATGGTTCAAGTTCTATCATATCTTCATACTAAACATAATCAATATTGGTTCACTTTTTAGGAAATCCCCAATTTAACGCTACAGCCCTGTATTTTTGGGGAGCTCAACCAAATTAGCTATAATTTAATATTTTAGATTCTCATATAGTAGAAAATCTACCTGCCCAAAAATTTCAATATTGGCCTATGTTTCCGGATCGCCCTATTATTTGGTGTTTTCGTGGACATGGATAGGGTTCTGGAGCCCAAGTAACCTCACCCAAAAGTTCCGCCTCTTTTCCGGTTTTAATAAATTTTAACCAAATTTTCTCATGGGATTGGTGAATAAAAAAAAATAGAACACTTTGAACAACCTATGGACTTAAGGAATTTAGAATGTTCTTCACTGCACTGGTAGAGGGTACTAAAAGTTCAGCCCGGCAGAAATTAAGGACGTTTTTACTTGTTGAACTTGATCTACGTTTGCTAAAAATAGTACGATGTGCACATCTTTATTTAGCAGATGGAATTATGCTTGGAAAATAACCCAGTGCCTGAAAATAGGTCTAAACTTTGATAATATTGAAGGTTATGTTGAAAAAAAAACTACAAAGAAGATGTTTATGTATATCCACAATATTTTATTTGTCATATACTCCACCTTATGGCGGAGGATATAATGAATATTACTAGTTACCGTTTCATGGCAGATCTTTGCTCCATCCATGTTGGACAGCAAACACTACAAAAAATCATCTTTTGCTTTTTACACCATCCATTTTTCTAACTTGACATTATTTTCTTTCTTTTAAGTAAAACGTCGCTCAAAGAGTGCACACGCCGGACGAACACCATCAACATCCAATGAGAGTGATACGGAGACAATTACCACACCTCGTGCCACTCAACCAAAGACGATAACATTCAATTTAAAGCAAAACAGTACCATTGAGTATGACAGGCGACAGTTCTTTGAACAGCCACCATTATCGGGTGCAAGTGGGCTAAGTGGCCGCTATGCCTACGGAGGAAACGCCAGCAGTAACATCATTTCAACCGGCATGCACAGCAATGTTATGTAAGAAATAGTAGTTTCATTTAATCTATGCCATTTTATTTGCGGTTCATTTTATTTTCACATAGACATCGGCCCACAGCAAGATTACCATTGAATACTGTGACAACGGCACCAGCAACAAGTGCAACGGCCTATACCAAATACACCCTGCAAACAGTCAGTTTACCAAAGCCGGAATTTGCTGTACCCATCAGCATTAATGTAACGACACCAACAACACCGGCCAGCACTTCATACAACTCCTCCTCATCGGCATCATCAACAAGGACCCGAGATAACTCATGGAACCGTCCACAACATCCACTGACCGTGGCCCAATCAACGGCTCCACGTATGGATTCCAAAGCAGCCAAACACATGACAAATAGCACGAGGCGAACATTCTCCGGCAGTCGGGAGATTTCTGCAGATTCGGGTATTGCTAGTCTTGACATGGCATTAGATAGCTCCGGCTCCAGTCGAATGAGTAGCTCAGGTGCCCATAAAGGGTCGCCCAAACGAAGTCGCAGTCGTCCCCGCAATCTACAGATGGTAATGAATGGCCGTCACCGCTTCGAGGTGAAAGATTTGGACGATTCGTTGTCAAGTGGAGATAGTTCCATTGTTGAACCGTTGGCTTTACCAAAATTGCCGACGGAAAATCAAACTGTGCCATTGCCGCTTAGCGGTTTGATACGTTCCAATACGGTATTGAGTCGTGAATCGTACGAGTCACGTAATACTGAAAATAAACAAAAACAAATAGGTGAATATTATTATTGTAGAATTTGAACTTCGTAAGGAATAATTTTGTTGTTGTTGTTTTTTTTTAATTTCAGTAAAATTAGACACGGATTTGGCCAACATTAGTCAATCAACATCGCGACAAGCTTCCGAAGAAGATAGTGAATTTGTTGACGAAGAAAAACTCCATTTGGATAGATCTGCAACGGAAAAGGGAGCAAAGGTAATTATAGTATTTTGTACCCATGCCATGGTATTATAACTTTGGGTAGCCCCAAGAGTTTGTAACGCCGCGAAATATTGGTCATCTCGGTGATGCTGAGATTATATTTAGGGGTGCAATTAACTGAAAGCTTAATTTTTGTCAGATCAATTGTTGCACGCAAAATATCAGATATTTTACACAGTGATGGGAATCTGACCAAATACTTAGTACGGCTGTTTAGATGAGGATCGGTCAATATTCCAAAGGGTCAAATCAACCAGTGACCAAATTTTTATTTTATGGTATAAATATTTACATCGCGAAATATGCCAGGGTATCAAATTGTAGGTCCGTCCGACTATACTGTTCCGTTCAATTATTTTAACTTTGAGCAGATTTTGAACAGAATTGGCTCTAATTTGATATTTTGAGTTCTCAAATCTTCCTATAAAAATTAGCAATGTCGGTCCACGTACCTGTATCTCTCCATATTTGTAATTTCAAAGTTCTAGCAGTATTTTCCTATCGAAGAGTCTGTAATTTGATATATGGGAACTATGTCATTACGTGAACCTATGTTGAAATTGTTATAACATAGCTCCCATATAGGGGGCGGTACCCCTTTTCAGTATTTTGAAGGTTCTAGCCGCATTTTCCCACCAAAGTAAATGTAATGTGGCATAGCAGGCTTTTTGAAGTGGTATATATATATGCAGGATAATGCCAATATCGTTGACCTATATGCCGGTATGGCCTCAATATAATGCCTGTAATTTGAAAATTTGGGTTTTTGTAGCATCATTAAAATCTCTGCAGAAAATCATAGATATAGGTTCCGTTTTAATATAGCCCCCATATGAAGTTCCGGTCCCATTTTCGGTATTTTGTAATTTGGCCTTCTGAAGTTTCAAGCCCAATTTTTAATCTCAGCGATTAGCAGATATCTTAGTCCTGTTCGATTTTAAATACTTTGAATGTCCACATAATGATGGAGGGTATAACATGTTCGATCCGACGGTTTTGCTTCTTA